TAGACAAAAGCTGTGTGTTTTCCTTCACATTAGTGTATGTGTCAGTGGATACTTTGAGAGAGTCATAAATATCATATTTTTGTTTCTCTCCTGCTAAATCCAGCAACAGTGCATTCTTTCTATCAGCATTAGTTACATCCACAATAGGATATTTTTCAAATTGTGAATTCTTTCTTTCCACAAAGAATCAGTGGGCAGAGACTCAAAACAGGTGAACTGTATTCATCCAGTCACGCTTAATGTGTATGCTCGCACTGCTTGAGTCATGCAGATAGGAGAAACAGATGCAAGAACTGTATCTTTTTATGACTCTCATATTAAATGAAACATTTGTTTATGATATACACAGATAATGTGGTTTCCTATACTGTAAACCTGCCAGTATCTGATCACCCTAGACACGGCAGAGGACTACGTTCTTTTTGGAGTCAAATTTTCATAGCAGCCTTTTTTATTATAAATATAAATCGGCACCCATGATATAAATAACAATTCAGAAAATACAAAGTAGAAACGGACTTCCTTATAGGTTTAAGGTCTTTGAAAGCACATGCAGCCTAATACTGACTACCTGGTTCCGACACTGTAACTCATTTTAGAGATAAATAATGAAAAATGTCTTTACTGACGTTTAGACATGGTGTCGCAAAATTGTGATGTTTCAGAGCCACTAGGGGGTCACTTCATCAGGTATACAATGTAATAATGAAGGGACCCCTGGCGACCCAAAGGGTCTCTTCATTATCACATTCTAAGTCTTTCAGTCAGGTAACTTTGCCAAGGCTAAGATTGTATCCTCCGCTGCAGGCAATAGGAAGCATTTCCTTAGTCTTTCTCCCCCAATCATCACTTAGACTACAACATTGTAAATCTGTAGCATGTCACAAAGTGAAAGGCTGCAAATAGGGACTGATATGTCTCATACATTTGTATAGACAGCAGGATTTACAAGACTGATTGATTCTGTCCCCTTTATTCTCAATAAATACATGAACTGTGGTACATGGATTTTAATGGTCACATCAGCCCTTTACCCAGAACAACATATCAACTAAACAACTTAATGACTGTTGGTTATGAGAAGGGGTCTTTGGTGTCCATCAGCCCAAAATAAGGCTTTGCTAAATCCACCCCATGTCCCCAGCTGCACTCCCACTAGCTCAAGGACAGTTCCAGAATGACGAATAAGCAACTATTCCTGCCTTCCCAAGGGCCGAGCCCTCAACAGCGCATTACAGCAATGAGAAAAGTACCACATACCCCCAGATGCCCCCCCCCCCATTTTTTGTAACCATCTCTTATTTTTCAGACCCTCAAAGAGCTCCTAACCTGCCAACCTGTTGTGACAAACCCATATATTCCAACTGCCATCAACAGTAAATAAGGGAGAGTGAGTGGAACAACCTGCTTCCTCCTTCATCCTTCAAGAAAAGACTCTCAGATGTTTCTATCCATGTGGCTCCTACCTACCACTGGACCCTTGACCCCCAATCCGCTATGATCTCCTGATTTCCCAATTTTGCAAACCACTTCCCCAATGACAATTCCCCCCCTTCCCCATTCATGTAGCACCTCTACTTATTATCCCTGGGTCTCTCTTGATTGTGTTATTTCGCCTGCATCTCAGTTTGGGAAGTAGATACTAACCATGAATAATGTCTGTACAAAGTAGGCTCTATCCTTTTGGAAAGAAAAACAGATGAAAGTATTATCAGAAAGATAAGGTGTAAGGTGAAATAAATTCCTGCTACCTCTACACATTAGTTACACTTAAAATGAAAAATATTTTTATTACTTCCCATTTTAAGATAAATTTAGTGAACTTTCCAAATGTATTACAGTTGCTGTGTTCACTGGATAGCATGAGTAGCTCATCAAATTTGTCAAGCTGTGTCCCAGACTGATGCTTCAAGATAACTGAATACTGATTACTTACAGACTTGGCGGCTGGCAGAGGATTTAGGGAACAAAAGCTATATAAAGGCACCTTTCAATTCTTGTTTTCAACATGTCTTGTTGCCTTTATATCTTTCCATTCCTGACAGGTTTGTTTAAAGTGCATCTTTTAGGAGAATTGGAGCAAACTGAATGTTTTAAGGACAGAATGCAGGAAGGTTTTTCTTGCTTTTACCTCTGCTGACATGGTAAAATCAAAAATCACAAAGGTACACTAGGCTAGTAGAGTTTAAACATAGCACTTCAAAGACACAATAAAACTGTCACAATTCAAAGAACCAATAATTGTGTCTACCTGCTTTATTCGCTTCCCTCAGAGCATTGGATTGAGAACTAAACTGCAATTGGACTCAAAGTGTAGACCCAAGAACAAAATTATAATACATTGCAGATTACCTTAGATGTGGTGCTTGCATTCATTTTCTTTTTTCTTTTGTGCAGTACAGATATGAACCTGTTGATCTAGTGTACTTGTAAATTCCTGTACACTGAATGGAAATTTCAAACAATGTTATCAGTTTTTACAGTACCTTTACTGTTGCATGGAGATAAGAAGAGAGAAGGTGTTTGTAGTACATATCAAATAAGAGTCCTAGGATGACAATGTTGCTCCTACATATACACAGTAGTGAGTGAGCGTTGCCACCCTAGGAAAGGAAGTGTATTACTAACTGGATCACCAGGTGAAAAAAAAATGGAAAAAAGCTTGATAAAGAAACCTATTGCAGCCACCATCTAAAGGCTGGTAATCTGTAATGTATTGCATTTGTGTTCTTGGGTTTAGATATGCTTTATAGGTGTATTGCCCATTAAATTATTTCAATGGAAAAAAAATATTTTCATTTATAGTGTAAGATATAGGTGATTTTAAGAGTATTGTACTAATATGAGAAATAAAATGAGGCAGGCCTTAACCTCTAAGCTAAGTGACACATGCTGATAGAATTGTGATTTGGCAAAAGTAGATATCCCAAGGCTTCCGAAATAAAGTGTTTGGGATGATTGCAGTCTACCAGTGTTGTTAAAAATGACATTGTATTCCAGACACACATGATTAAGGAGTTCAGTTTCATTCGTGAAGTGCTTGAAAATAAGCTAATTATAGTTCAGTTTAATTCCTTCCTTTTTTTAATCATTGATTCAATTTTTACTGGCTGAAATAGAGAAGAATGCTGTTATTCAGGAGGGTAAACACAATACATGCTTATTTACTAGGTACCTTTTTAAATTGACTTTCATTTTTCCATCTCTAAGCTTTCCTCTTTGTCAGTCATTATTAGGCAGGCAACAATGGCACATGCATATAGCTCAGTCTGGATTGCTGCTTATATTGTATACATACTAAATGTGTAAAAATTGTAATTAACTTCAAAAATGGAGATGTGCTATGTTATAGGGAAGCCCAAAAAATGTACCTTTTGTCCTGAGTTCCTCCTGTTCAATGCAGTTCCTGGTATGTGAGGGTGTCTAGGCTCTCCTGGTGCCTACAGCCTCATGGACAAGATCTGCAGTGTGAGATATAAGTCACTCTTGCTTTTGACTGCTAAGTTAGGAGATTTGCTGTGAAATTTGGTGATGAATCTACTGTTCAGCTCCCTGTTATCCTTGCTGGAGGCCCTGGCACAGGGAAGCAAAAGCCTTGCCTCTACAAAGATGGCCGCCTCTACACAGAGATGCAATATAGAACAAGGCATTGTAAGTCAGTAGCGGGGAAAGATCCACTACAGGTAGACCATAGACAATGCTGGTGATCATTCATTTGCCCTCCGACTGTCTTGTTTTGGCCACAGCTTCCAGAGTTCAGTTCCTCTTTAATAGAACAGGCTAATTTATGCAAATCATGCTCTTTTATAATTATTTGCATAAATAAGGTGCTCGATAAGATAGACAAGAATAACTGAGTGTGCAACATGGTACTGAAAGAACTATGATTGAAGAGGGCCTTATTATTCAACATAATTCACACACAAAAAAGGTCCCAGTTTAAATCCCACCTTTCTTTTTCAAGTCTCCTGGTTTCCCCACAGTACTCTGAGTGCAGACATTGTCAACTCTTTGTAGTTAATACCCAGCATATGTGGCATAGTGGCATAGTTGATAACATCAACTAAATATCATCCACTAAATAGGTAGCATTTTCAATACATGATGCTTGAGCTGTCCAAGAACCCAACTTAGATATATCCTATTCTGCCTAAAGGGCTATGCAATTTGGAAATATCTGCTATTGACCTTTTTACCTAATTTCCTGGAAATGGGAGAACAGCTAGTAAAGAGTCCAGTACTTGACAGAAATCATGCATCTTTGCCCACAGTCATCATGCTTTTTGACAGTACTACAGACAAATAGGAAAACATGCCTTATTTTTTCATGTTTGTTGAACTTTTGTATTCAAGATTCAGATCCACTTCAAAGTTCAAGATAACTGGATGAACAAATGTCATCACACATATATTTGAGCACATCTGCATGTGGCTGCACTTAGAAACCTATGCAATAGTGATGGATGAATCTGCCTGTGTTCGATTTGCCAAGGGTTCAGTAAATGTTGTTCACAATTTAGGTAACCTATTGTTGGTAAATTTTGACCATTTTTAGGGCTTATAGGCAAACTATTTTTTTTAAAGGCATGGGCGACAGTGTACACTGGCAGTGAATTTGTGGCTTTGGAATTGATTTTTTTCTTTTACAATTAGCTTGGGTTACATGCAATGCAATCTGATTTATTGCAATTAAAAAAAGACGTCTTTCAGTTAGTTTTAGTAGCAGCACATGCTTTTTCATCAAATGGTATAAGGTTCACTTTAACCAGTAGATAGAAACTTGCCAGTAGTCTGCTGTGAATGTCCCTGTTCTCGCTGATGCAAAACTGTCCTGCCACTGGTCTATTTCTATCAAGCTCTCATTAAGAATTTAGAGACCACAGATGATACAGTAGTGTAAAATTGGCCAGCAACAGGACAATTTTAAATAGCAAGACTAGGCTAGGTGGAAAGATAAATATGTTTATAAATTTCTAATATTCATTCTTACCATTTTTCAGGTTGTGAAAGGCACTGAAAACCTGCGTAGTTAATGAAGAAGTGTGCTGCAATTCCCAAGGTACCTTATGGCACAAAGACTGTTACTGCAAGTTATGGATAATCTATTGAATTACAAAGCCTAGTGCTGGAATGATAATACAAAAAGTCAGCAATATTTTATCTGTATATAACAGAGAAACCTCATGACAAAACACAGTCTTTTTAGTTACACCTTTGAGAGAATGCAAGATTAAAGCACCAAAATACAGGCAAACATCAATTAAGACCAGTGGTATAAAAAAACAGAGGCATTAATCCTGGATTTAGGGGTCCAGCAATGCAGAGCACACTATTGCACTGCTGGGCCCCGTGTACATACACCTTTATTAATCATGATCAGTAAAAACTGATATTTTCACAGTACCTTGGAAAATAAAATATAGCAGCTAAATGTAACAAGAAACGGTATCAAAGCAATGTGTTCTGTCATGGGTGACGACCTAGATGATTCAGTTGCTACATGCTGGAAGTCAGTACTATACAATGTTCTGATTGGAGTAGTTCTTGTTCTGATTATCATCATCACTATTTGTGGCAATGTGGTGGTTTGTTTGGCTGTTGGATTTGACCGAAGACTTCGTAGTTTGACAAACTGCTTTATTGTCTCTCTGGCTATAACAGACCTTTTGCTAGGTATTTTGGTGCTACCGTTTTCAGCCTTGAACTTGTTACATGAAGAATGGCCTTTTGGATCAACCTTTTGCAACATCTATACCAGCCTGGATGTCATGTTGTGTACAGCTTCCATTCTAAACCTCTTCATGATTAGCTTGGACCGCTACTATGGTGTCACAGCTCCTCTGCGTTACTCCATGCTTGTCACCCCATGTCGTGTTGCCATAGCAATGGGTTTGATATGGGTAGTTTCCTTGATGGTCTCATTCCTTCCTATACATCTTGGTTGGAATACAAAAGACAAAACAATCCAAAACTCTAGAGGTGATGACAGCAAAGAATGCAAATTGGAGCTGAATAAGGAGTATGTATTAGTGGATGGTTTGCTGACTTTCTACCTGCCTTTGGTCATCATGTGTCTTATGTACTATAGAATTTTCAAGATTGCCAGAGAGCAAGCTAAAAGAATTAATCATGCCAGCTGCTGCAATGCTGTGAGTCCTACACTACCTACAGTACGGGAACATAAAGCTACTGTGACACTTGCAGCTGTAATGGGTGCATTCATCATCTGCTGGTTTCCCTATTTCACAGTTTTTACTTATGAAGGAGTGAACAATATTGAAGTAGATGAGACTGCTTTCTTAATAGTTCTGTGGTTAGGCTATGCAAACTCTGCTCTCAATCCAATTCTGTATGCTGCTTTGAATAGAGATTTCCGTACAGCATACCAACGTCTTCTACACTGTAGGCGTGTGGGCCCCTTGAGCCATGAGACCCCTCTGACCCTGCTCCATATACGCCGCCCAGAAGAAAGGACTTTACAGGTCATGGAAAACTTGCAGGGAGACAAGACACACAATATTCAAGAAAGCAACGGAAAAGAATTTAGTCCCTTCATCAAAAATGTAGCAGAAAGGTAATATATTTTAATTATGTTTCTCTATGTATACAGATAGAAAATATTTTATTTGAAAACCTGCTACCCAGCTATTATAATCTTTAGCTATTTAAAGATAAAATATTACGGATGCATTGCTCTAAAATGCTTAAAGTGTATATAAAGCAAACACTTTTTTTCCTAATGAGATACACCCTCTTTTTTCATCTTATCAACCATTGTCACAGGTACTGAAAGTGAGGGATAACCCAAAATTTTGAGCTGTCACCGAAAGGCGAATTCTGAAAATGGGGATATTTGTTCCACTAATAAGTGTCTAAGACAGGATTTTCTTCACTTTGTCTTCAGCACAGATAGTGTAGAGAAATCTGTCCAATGGGACAAACTGCAAATGGGACAAACTGCAAAAAAAAGAAACCCTTCCCTATTATATCCAAAATGTTTTTAAAAGTTTTGGCATTAAATATACTTTAAAGTAACCTAAAGCTGTGTTTATTTTAAATACAAAATTATATGCAAAGGAAATGAAAAAAATGTTGACACATTGGATTGAATTATGCAAAAATGCACTGTACAAAGTGAACCTGGCTGATCAGTGCACTACTAAACAGTAAACACTAATAATATTATATATTATGAGGACAGAGTTGCCAGCATGGCAAATTTTTCAATATACAGTATGTATATTTAATATATTGTAAGCTTAGTGTTCCAGATCATAAACAGTGTGTTTTTACCCTAAAATATCATGTTCAAAGTATTCCAAAGGTCTTAAACCTCTACGTGGATCTATGTGCTTGTCTGTCTTTCATGCTAAAACTGGGTTGTAAACAAGCAGACTAGCATGAATCCATAATGTTGTTGGCAAAAACAGAAGCAGGTATACCACTGTGGTTACAGATGCATCTATGTATTATCCATCTGACTCATTCAGTATCTAAATAGATATCAATCTCAAGTCAGGAACAGCCCATACACAAGCCGTTCTTTGGCAAAAAAAAATCTAAAATGGCCTTTTTTTGGCTAATAAACATATATAGGGAATCTGAGGATATATTATTCCCCAAATGACTAAGCCCAATAGTTGGTGCCCTACACGCTGAAAGTGGGCATCCACCAAAACCGTTGTGGCGGCATTGCTAAATAGGAAGAGAACATTGATAAATTGTCTTAACTTTCGCTAACTTGGTACACAGCCATTAAATGCGATGTGGCACATCCGGCACACCTTATTGAAGATCATCAGCCCCCAATAATCCAATAAATCAAACTCATAACAGATACAGCAGTCTTCTTCTGTCAACGATAAGCATAGCACAGCATTAGGCTATGCACTTTGTATGTGTGCATTCGATTTTTGGCAGAACAAACTCCAGGCTTATTTTTAACATTGCCAAATATCTTTCTGTTTCAGCAGGTTGAAATTTCCATATAGACTGTCTTTAGCTGTCTCTAGGGTATAAATGTTATCGTATAAGCGCAACACACAGTCAAAAAATTAACATAAATGCCACACACACGCTAGACACATACTAAATGAAATAATCACTTTTTTATTTTAATGACTTTGTAAGTGATGAGACATTCCTTCACTACAAGGTTTATGTTTAGGACATTCTCAACATCAGAAGCTACCATCTATAGCTGTAGCTATTGTTGTACTTCCTTAGAGAATTTCTCCCCACGCCATCAAGCTCCATTCAGATAAGTTTAGCAAATAATGAGTCAGTTTTGTAATATTCTGTTGCTAATATGGGCTAGATATGTCTTACTGATTCTCAATTGTGGAAGAAAATAAATAGAAATAAAATTTGAATGAAGTAAGATTATTGCGCTGGGAAGTCTTTTTCATCATGTTCTCATCAGAGAACATGATATGACTTTGCTGTTTGATATAAAAAATATATATTGGGTAACAATAAATATATTATAGTAATTAGATTGCCATTTTGCTTTAACTTTGGGGATTTTTTTCTGACCCCCGCAGCAGACAGGCAAAGTGGTAAACATTTAACTTGTTATCGATGGTGGCAATCTTGATCACAGCTAGTTGTACACATTAGAACTTCATACAAACATACATTTTAAATGAGGCAACAGATTTCTAGAATAAATTGTCACTGTACTGCTCATTGCAACCAAATTACATCAGTGTTCTTGCTATGCATTATGGTTATGTGCACGTGAGTGTGTGATTTCTCACTTCGCAATAGTATAATTCAGACCTTCAGTTAGGGTCTGGAACTCACTGCCACAGGCGGTGATTTCAGCAAATAATGTGGAATTGTTCAAGAAACTTTTGGACGATTTCTTAAGGGACCGCAATATACAGGGGTACAGGTACTCCTAGAATGAGATCCTAATAGGTTGGACTTGATGGACTAATGTCTTTATTCAACCTCAAATACTATGTAACTATGTAACCTTAAAGAGGCACATAGGGTTGTAAGTTGGAAGCTTTGGGGTTGTATTGATGAAAAACTAAAACCATGCCCTTATGGGCAAAGAAAACCAGAACAGCAAGTAAAACCGAAATTGCTAGAAGCTGCTACTACTTAAGCAATGGGCCTCACGAATAGAATCAACAGTATAGCGCTAATAGCCTCACAGTGTTGTACACAACAATGTGAATTATAAACCTAAGTAATATTGTGTGAACAAATGTAAATAAAAAGTATGAAACACTTTTACAAAAGTGAGATTATTTGCAACCGATCTGTACAACCCATATCTAAAATCAAATGTGATGATACATCCTAGTGGAAAACACGAACAATAAACCACTGAGTGCAATATACTCAAGGTAAATTATATATAGTGTATCCTCAGATGAATAAGTGAAACAAATGTTACAATATGAAAACTTAAACAGTGAACCACTCAATGTGGTATAATCAGAGAGAGTAATATACCATGTAACCTTACATGGGTATGTGAAACAAAATGTCCCAATACAATGTGCCTATGGATGTCTCCTAGCAAAAAACCAAAACAGTGAAATAGATATAAAATAAAATAATCAAGGAGTTGTATTGTTTTGTTGGATCTTTCAAAGAGGTCCTATTTATGAAATAATAAAAATAATATTATTAGAATCTAAAAAAAATGGGTAATACATTCCATGTTTTTGCCATATGCGAATTAAAGCAACCTTGCAACTTCTAAAAAAGTAACCAGCTTTTCCCTGTAGTTGAAGCAGCTTGTAATTAAAAAAAAAGGTTGCATATTTACCATCAGAGTGGATGGCAAATCCATTCTTAGCTGTCTTGCAGAGCTAGTAGCAGAGCTAAGTAATACTTTGGGTAGTTTGGATAGCATGTTCCCTACTGGGCATAGTTGCTGCTACATCAAACATCAACAAAACAAAGAGAGCTAAGAATCGACTGGCCACCCACTGGAGAGAGGTATGCATCTCCCTCTATTACAGGGTGAAGCTGCTTGAATTTGTTTTAGAGAAGCGGCAGGGTGGTTTTAAAGTAGACCCAATAGACTCTGAATCCCATCCCCCCCCCACACACACACACTCACACACAAACACGCACTGCCTACATTCTGCTGTTAAAATTGCTCCCAAATAGTTTCCTGAGACTTAAAGCCTTGCCCCCCTGGATCCAGAATTTCAATAATTCCCTAATTCAACATTCTTTCCTACACAATTCTGTAGCTTGGAGAGTGTATAGTAGCAGTGCTAGTGGCCTGCCAACTGACATTAAAAGTTAAAAGAGAATTATGGGGTAAGTGTTTTTCCCCATAGTTCTCTTTAGGGTCACGGGAGGATATATACTAACCTCCTCCCGTCACCCAAAGCTCAGTATAAAGCAGGCTACAGGGGCGTATCTGCCTCAAGGCAAACAAGGCATTTGCCTCGGGCGGTAGATTCCAGGGGGGCAAAAATGCAGCCCCCCAAAACATTTAGGCAGACGGGATGCACAGAAACCGTCAGCCTGGCTGCCTAATGTGAACGGGGAGGAATCAGCGGGCGGTGGAGCAGGAGGAGATGGGGGACAAGGCAGTAGGAGGCAGTGGCGGAGATGGAAGAGGCGGGGTGAAGACAGAGGAGGCGGGGGCAGAGGAGGCGGGCGCAGAGGAGGCGGGCGCAGAGGAGGCAGGGGCAGAGGAGGCAGGGGCAGAGGAGGAGGAGGCTATGTTATGAAGTGGTTGGGCAGCGGAGGAGGCTGGTTTCCCGTGCCAGGTAAGAGGACTGTGCTGGCAGAGCCCAGCATAGACTCTGCACAGCGCACCAAAGAGTCTCAGGTGGGCTGTGCAATAACCTTTGGTGGGCCAGATCCTGCACAGCCCCCTGAGATCCTGCAGACTGCAGGGTCTCAGCAGGAATTGTGGGGGGATTTGCGGGTCTCAAGGGGCTTTGCAGGATCTGTGGTGGGCTTTGCAGGATGCATAGGGGGCTCTGCAGACTGCAAAGCCCACCACAGATCCTGCACAGCCCCCATGAGATCCTGCAGACTGCAGGGTCGCAAGGGGTCTCTGCAAGATCTGTGGGGGCTCTGCCGGGTCTGGGGTGCTTGTAGGATCTGTGGTGGGCTTTACAGGATCTGTAGGTAGCTCTGCAGCCTGCAAAGCCCACCACAGATCCTGCAAAGCCCCCCTTAGATCCTGCAGACTGCAGGGCCTCAGGGGGGCTGTGCAGGATCTGTGGTGGGCTGTGCCCACCACAGACCTTGCAGAGCTCACCAGCCCCCTGACACCATGCAGAGCCCACCACAGATCCTGCACAGCCTCCCTGAGATTGCAGGGTCTCAGGGGGCTGTGCAGGATCTGTGAAGGGCTCTGCGGTTTCTATGGTGGGCTTGGCAGCCTGAGACCCTGCAGAGCCAACCAGAGATCCTTCACAGCCCACCTGAGACCCTGCATATCCTGTAGAGCCTGTAGAGCCCATCACAGCCCTGCAGAGCCCACCTGAGACCACAGCTTTCCTGCTACGCTAATAGTGGAACATGTCAAAAGCTGGCTACAGTGTGTGCACTGTATCCAGTGACTGACAGGTTACGCAAAAAGTA